GAGTTAGTGGAAAGAAAAGGAAGGAAGGAAATAAGATCTTTTGACTGGACCAAAAAGATCATAAAACCAGGGATGGGAAGAAGGGGAGTGGGGAATAGACGATTATTCTCCGAGTTGTGATTCTTTTAGTACTTTGGCCTCAAACCTACACTTTTATCCTGTATTTATTATTTTGTATATTTGAGAAATGTACAGTATTGTTTGGTCTGAATATATCTTTTAAGTTTATATAAAATTATGCCCTAGGTCACATTCTCTTTTCTCCTTTTATCAGACAACATGGTTTTTAAGAAGCTGACTTGCTTTTAACAATCCTCCTGTGAGCTTGATGGCGTTCCTCTTCAGTACAGATGAACTAAATGTCACAGATATGTCCTTGCACACTGACAGTCTGTCACTCTACTGTCACCAGTGCAGACTTACTGCTCATCCAATTTAAAGGCTTTCTCTTCTCGGAAACCTTTTCTGACTCCAGAAAAGTTTCTATTCTATTCTGTCCTCTGGGAGTGTAGCCGTCTGTGCGATTCATTTAGTAAACAAGTGTTTTTTGAGAGCCTCATATACATGCATTTTGGGTGCTTGGAATTTATCAGTGAAGAAAGCAGAAACCCCTGCCCTCATAAAACTGATATTCTAGTTGGGGGAGTTCAATTAATATACATGACTATAATAAATAAGTAAATTATATATTTTGTGCTGTTGAGAACTATGGAAGGAAATAAATTGGGAAAGGGGACATGGGGGATGTGGGAGTGTTGTCAGGAATAGATGTATTTTAAAATAGGACAGAGAATGCCGTCCGGAGAGGGTAACATCTGAGTGACGCGTCATAGGGATCTCTTGGGGAAGAATGTTTGTGGCAGATGGTAAAGCCAGGACAAAGGCCCTGAGGCAGGAGTGTACCTGCCTTGTTGAAGTAACCACAGGAGGGCCAGTGGTCAGATGAGATAAACTGGGGGAGGCGGGTGAGAAGATGAATTGGGCAGGGCAAGTTGTAAATGGCCATGTGGACCTTTGTAGGGACTTTAGATTTTACTCTAAGATATGGGTAGGTGGCCATCTGAGAGTTGTGAACAGAGGAGTAACAATCTGACTTATGCTTTAGAAACTGGCTGGTGTGTTGAGAATAGACAGAGCAGGGATAGAAGCGTGGAGATCAGGAACCTAGTGAGATAGTGTATTGGGTTGTCAGAAAAGTCATCACACATTTTTGCAACGAAAAACAGAAAATACGTCATGACTTTTCCGACAGCCCAATAGGTGAGAGATGATGGTGGTGACAGGGCGGGAGTAGTGAGGGGAGTGAGAAATGAGTAGATTCTGGATATATTTTTGAAGGAAGTGCCAATAGGATTTCCTGATGGATTGGTTGTAGTGTGTGAGAGCAAAAAAGAAGTCATGAATGATTCCAAGGATTTTTGGTTTTCGCTCCTAGCTTGATTGATATAATTGACATATAAGATTATGTAAGTTTAGGTTTACAGTGTGTTGTTTTGATACACTTGTATATTGCAAAATAATTACCACCATAGGCTTAGCTGAGACGTGCACCACATCACATAATTGCCATTTCTTTCTTTCTTTTTTTTTTTTTTTGTGGTGAGAACATTCAAGATCTACTCTCTTAGTAACTTTCAGATGTCTAATACATATTGTTAACTGTAGTCACCATTCTGTGCATTAGATCCCCAGAGCTTACTCATCTTATAGCTGGAAGTTTGTACTCAGACTTGCAAAGTTTTTGGCCTGAGCAACTAAAAAGATGGAGTTGCCATTGGCTGTGATGGGCATTCTGTGGGGTAAGCAGATTTTGGGGAAAGGAATGGAGAGTAGTGTTTTTATAGTAAGTCCAAATGGTGGTTTATAATCTTTATATTCTGAAGCCCAGCGTTGATGCCTAGTGTATAGTAAATGTTCACTAAAATTATTCATGTTATAAACTTGAAATTTTGATACACTGGGTTTTACAAAGTAAGGTGTAAATATATGGCATTTGCTGTTTTGGGCCCTTTAGGGTTTAAGAGTTGGTTTCAGTGTCTGCTTGATTACTCTTTCTAACTAGACTATTGATAGTACAAAAGTGTTACCCTAGATTTTTGTTCCTCGTATAATTTCAAACAAGGGAACTTGTATTTAAAAAGAAGGAAATGTACTTGAACTGTTTGATAATCATTAAACAATAATAATCACAAAACACTGTAATGTGTTATCACCATCACTGGCAAGAAACATCAGTGTGGATCATGTTATATTTACTATAGAACCTAATAAAGATGAATAATCTCTCTGCTTCTTTTGGCAATTCTTTTCATGTTGATAAGAGATTGATATTTCATAGCCCAATGGAAATTCTGCTAGAGTAGATGATTTTTCATTAGAATAAAAACATAGTACATGTGGCCAGTTTAAAGGATAGTTCATATAATATGGTGTTTTGTTTTTTTGGTTATCCTAATTGGTTATCTTAGTTTATGATACAGCTGTTCCCATTTACCTTAACTGCCTTTCAACAAGGAGCAACACACCTGTTTCATATTAACTCATCAGGACATTTGGGCGTATCTTTAGATTTGTTGTAATTTTTTTTTAAGGTTTTATTGGGGAATTGGGGAAGGGGAACAGCCACGTTGTTGTCCTTCAATCTTAGTTGTGGAGGGCGCAGCTAGTTCAGCTCCAAGTCCAGTCGCCATCCGGCTGCCTGTTGACAGCTCGCGGTTGCTCAGCTCAAGGTGTCTGTGTTCAATCTTAGTTGTGGGGGGCGTAGCCCATCATCCCATGCAGGAGTCCAACCAGCAACCTTGTTAGGAGCACATGCTCTCACCAGCTGAGCTATCCTGCCACCTGTTGGCAGCTCAGCTTGGGCGCAGCTCACTGGCCCATGTAGAAATCGAACTGGTGACCCTGTACTCAGAGCTCACGCTCTTAACCAACTGAGCCACTTGGCCAGCCCTGTTGTAGTATTCTTAATGTAAAACAAAATTTAATTAGCTGTGGAATTTTAAAGATATATTCCTTTTAAGAGGAGGAAGGAACGCAATGAAGTGAAATAAACTCTGGCTGTTAGGAGAATTACAGATCCAGCCTACAACAGGAATTTCTCTCTATTTCATGTACCTAGTTATAAAGACATTTTTAAAACATTGGTTAGTGCTATTTTAAGGTAAAATATTGGTCTTTCGGAAAAGGCATGATGCATTTTTGCAATGAAAAACAGAAAAAATACGTCAGACTTTTCCAACAACCCAATACATCTCATTGTTTCCTGTCACTTACTTTTTTGTGTTGTTTGGTCATTCGTTCAGTCAACAGTTATTGAACACATATTATGTAACTCTTACTAGAAAATAGATACTGTTCTTATGCCAAAGAGCACTTTGGAAAACAAACATGAATTGAGGAGATTATAAAGATAGAGGGTATTCCATGCTTCTGAGAGCACACGTGAGGCTTCCCAGGAGAGGTTCTATCGGAGCTGAGTGTTATAAAGTAAGTACAAGTCAGCCAGTCCAGAAAAGGTGGGATGAGATCGCATTCCAGGTAGACAGGACAGTGGGAACCAAGGCAGGAAGTAGGAAGAAGCATCCCGGCGTGTGTTAATGTTTAAAATTTGAGGTGTGGCATGGGGAGAGGTGAAGCTGGAGAACTAGGCAAGCTGATCCCCAAGCCCTTGCCGGCCGTGTTAAAGAGACTTTAGCCTTATGGTGAACTCTGGGAGAACCCGAAGAAGAGTGACGTGGTCCAATTTTTGTTTTGAATAGATCACTTTGCCAGCTGTGTGGAGGATGGATTTGAGGGAGACAAGACTGGAGGCAGTAGTCCAGGTGAGAGACGATGGGGACCTGAACTAAGGCATTGCAGTGGAGATGGAGTGGATTTGGAAGGAAATGAAACCACAGATTAAAGGGTTTTCCTCCTTCAAATATGATCACACTGATTTTAAATTAAAAATGAGTGGAGGGGAGAGGGAGAGAGAGACATCATAGAAAAGTGTTCTATTACATAGGCAGTTAGTCACCTGTAGCTGCTAAAAACAGTTCCAGTGATCAAGAACATCACGACTGGGAGACCCGTGCATTTTTTGTATAACTGACCTGGGCTGTAAGAAGCAGGTGATCTGGAATTACGGTACAAGGATCACCTGTGTGTGTGGTATGACTCAATTTAGGAAGAAACCAGGTCCGACAAAGCTTCAGCCATTACACCCGCTAGAAACTCAATAAATGTCCATTGTTGATGATGTTGTCTAGAGCCTTCAATTAAGTATTGATGTTTTATGAAAATGTGCCACCTAGGAAAAGAAAACAGGGTAAATTTTTTTTTTCATTAAAACAATTGCATTATTATGAACACTGCATGGTAACACAAAGGTATTTTGGAGTGCCAAGAATGTTTGGTATTAAACCAAAACATTTTTCTGTTTAACAGATAATTTTAAGATTTTTTTTCCTAGAAGCACTATTTTTACATATAATTGGAGGGTCTGGATTTATACAATATGTACATATTTCTTAAGATCTGTTAGCTTTTCCACAATTTGTTTTATATGGAGAGAGTAAGGGAAGGAGGGTAGTTTGGGAGGATTTATAATAACTGTTCCTTCTTAAAACCACCGGCACCAAAACAAAATATCCTGTATGTTTTATAAAACAAATTGCCATTTCTTTTTGAGATTTCTTTTTTTCATTTTAAGAAAACTGCTTTTCCTGTTATTTCAGATTTTTGGTGAATGCATATAAATCACAGGTAAACACTCATTTCGTGTTCTTTTCTCTGACTGTTTTGCTCTATTTTCAACAAGTAGACTTCTCTCATATTTAGGAGGCAGTGCCATTTGCTCGTCCGTCAATTCCACAACTATGTTCTACCCTGGAGCTGTCAGCCTGTGTCAGCGTCTGTCAGATATATGCCAGCAGCTAAAGTATCATGTTATGTACTGAACTCGAATGAATTTCCAACTGTTGAATTTACTGTGAATTCCTTTCTCTTTGTATGTCTTTCAGAAGCCTTGCACCGCCCCTACGGTTGTGAGGTTGAACCCCAGGCACTGAACGAAGCCATCAGGTGGAGCTCCAAGGAGAACTTGCTGGGAGCCACTGAGAGCGATCCCAATCTCTTTGTTGCACTTTATGATTTTGTAGCAAGTGGTGATAACACGCTCAGCATCACTAAAGGTGAGCTTCTGTGTGAAATCCTCCTCTCACTTGGCGGTTTTCATTCGTGGTTAGAAAATAAAGGGGTCTGTGTTAGATTCTGCCTCTAAAATGAGCTAGGTGATTTGGGCCCAGAAACTTTCGTTCATAATTGTCTTAAAAAAAAAAATCAGTGCATGGGATAATGTCACTTTGTCTCTTTATAGACCTGTTAAGGAGAAAATGAGATAAAGTATTTTAGAAAAACACCACACAGCATGTACAGAAACTTCCCTCCTTCTCAGAATTCTGTACCATGTGTAATATCAGCACTCACCTGCCACACAGGTGAGGTTTACTAGACATCTCTCCTCACTGGCCGTGGCTGAGGTGAGTCATGTTGCCAGACCCCAGTGCTGCTCAATGTTGTCCATGACTGACCACCTGTCTGAGAACTGTTTGTTCCCAATTTGCAAGGAGATTAAGAACTTGCACCCAAAATGTAAACCAACTACACATTTCTAAGTACATTATTAATTATTTAGTTCAGCTGACATTGTCTTTTTCTGGAGCAAGACTTTGGGCGTGAAGAAAGGAGTCCAGCGATTCACAACCTGGCACAAGCGTCTTATTTGCTGCGGACCCGCTTTGAGTAGCACTGGCCTAGATAACCTCATCTCTCACTTGTGTTAATACGGATCAGTAAAAGGGATAGTAGGAGGGGTTTCTATTGTAGTAATTCTCTCAGATTAGTCATTTATTTCAGTAGTAAATTCTTACAAAAGGGAACACTAAGAACATGACCAAGTAAAGTCATCCAGCATTGGGTTTTTGAACAAGGACAGAAAATATGGAGCTTTTATGGGAAAGAAATAGTATGGGGCGTTGACATTGTGTACATGAATTGGACTGCTAATTTGCCTAAGCTGGTTCTTGTCGTTTGAACCTATAAAAGCCTCCTACTGGGAAAAAAATATATTTCAGGATAATTTTTAAATGAAATTGTGACTTAAATGATTATTTGTCAAATATAACGCCTTTTATTTGTAGGGCTCAGAATGAGGTATTAAATGGGAGTGGATATACTAAATTAAGAAGCTACGCCTCCCTCCACTCAAGGATGTTACCCTTAAATAAAGTTTTTACATACATCAATTTTTAAAATCCAGCCAGATTCATCAAAAGCAGAAATCCTTAAAACTGAGTTTCTCAAACTGGATTATAGATACGTCCCAGCGCGGATGTGATGGCACATGTGTATGTGCCAGAGGTTTCAAAGACACAGGGAAAGTAAAGTGCATGATTTCCTAGTGTCAGTTTACTACTTCAGGGTTTTGGGCAGTTTTGGGGGTGGGATGGTGATGGTATTTGTATATGTGTGTGGGGGTCGTTCATGCACTGAAGTGTATTTTTACATAAAGTTTTAGGATAAAGCAAAGGACTTCAGAGAAATTTTTCTTTTGCGGTAGCCTCTTTGGGCTACAATACATTCTTTCACCTTTACTGATACATCAATGGAGAAGTTGGTAAGAGATGACTCAGAACATTCTTTCCTAGGTACAATTTGCATGGCAATAGTTTCCAGGAGAGCTCAGTCACCAAGAAAACATTGATAAAGTCTGACTATTCCTCAGTTACAGCAATCACCACTGTGCAGCTCAGGGAGTGGCCAACAGTGATTTCTTCTTGAAACCCATGAAATGCCAGAGTTTCACGTCAGGATCTTATTAATATAAAATGATGTCATGCTAAAGCTATTTTAGCATCTTAAAGACAAGAAAATATATTTTAAAAATAAAATCACAATACGTACTTTAGCTCCTTTTTTCTTTGAAGATAACATTTTGCTTGAATTAAAAAACAAAAGCCTCCCAGGATTCCTGTGCCGTAGAGGCCAACATTTATATCCCTACCAGTCCATACCCCGTCAGCGTCTGTGGTTCTCAAAACTTCCAGGGCACGATTCTTCTCCTAACTGCCAGAAAGAGAAGAAAACAGATAAACAAAAACCTAGGGTGTTTGACTGTATCCTAATTGGGATGACCTGTCACTACCAGTTCTTTATGAGAAAGCAATAATAATATAACTAGTCAACTGTTAGTCTTTCCTTCTTCCGGTTCTTGTGGAGTAAAAGAGAACAGCTACAGAAGAACTCACTTTCATTTGTTTTTCTAGCAGCACTAAGATTTGTTCCCTGCAAATGTGTTTGGGGAGTATTGACACATTTGTGCATTTCCAGCACACCACCACCCACACTCCTGTATGTATATTTTATATACATATATGTGCGTGTGTGTGTGTGTAGATACATAGGTAAATAGATAAAATGTGTGTGACAGCATACTCTTGTGCTTTTACTCATTGAATGTCTCATATCCAGGTGTCTTAGGTAAGATAGCCGAGGCTAATAGGAAGTTATCTCATGGTCAGCATTTGTATAGGCCGCTGAAAAAAGTTGGATGGCTGCCAGGATAATGACTTCGTTTTTCCTCAGTAGCCTTGGTCTGATAACTACTGGGCCATGTGCTTTTGATTGAGTTGGCTTTTTTCTGCTTTCCGACACTGAGAAGGGGGTGTGAATTCTAGGGGAAGGCTTGCATCCATCTCTCTGGGACAGTGGCCTAAGGCTTTAAAACGATTCTTGAGGTTATTAGTTATCACTGATGACACCCCTTTTGCCTTCCCTGTTTTGTCTGTGCTGCCAGCATGGGGCAAGGTGGACATTGGCGGAGTTTAAATTGATGTTCACAACTTTAATGGATGCCGTTAAGGACACTGAGGTGGAGCGAAGATATTCTGAGTAATCTGAGTTTTGGGTGCCAGCCTTGGACTCAGCCTCCCTCCTACACATTCATTTTAGAGGAATGGATGGGAGTGATTCATTCTTCATGAGGCATGGGAGGGAAACTACAACTGTTTCAAACCTGAGCCCTGGAAAGCACTGCTCACCCCCAACCCCCAAAAAAGTTTTTGTTTCTGGAAACATTGCTGCAAGCTCTGCGGCCTGTGCTTTTGTTTTGGTTTATTTTGTTTTTGTTTTGTTCACATTGATGGTTTCATTGCCTTGGTGCCAAGTGAAATTTAGAAGTTATGTCGTATTTCACATGACTTATCCCTAATCCTTAATTGTTTGTTAGTATTGAACCGTATATAAGATACATTCCTTGACCAACTGTTTTGGGGGGGAAAATGACTTTTCTTTTGAAGAGTGAGACTCACCATGTCATTCTACAGCCATTTAGTAACCTTTCTATCTTGTATTCCACCTCACTGCCATCCATGCAGTTTCCTGAAGACATTTTTTAGTGATGTAAAAACTTGCAAAACCAGTAGTAAATGCCAGAAAGCCATTTCTAACTATGCTTCTTTTGTTTAAGCTACAAGCTAAAGAGATCATGAGAATATGATGAACAGCCAAATTTGTTTTCATCATTTAAAAAAATTTTTTTGGCCTAAAAGTTCCTGATTCCTTTTTCAGTGAGTTTAAAGTTTAACAATAGACTGGGACAAAGTTTTAACACCTTGTCTTTCATCCTGTGACGGCCTCATGGCTAGGTGAAAAGCTGCGAGTCCTGGGTTACAACCAGAATGGGGAGTGGAGTGAAGTTCGCTCTAAGAACGGCCAGGGCTGGGTGCCCAGCAACTACATCACCCCCGTGAACAGTCTGGAGAAACACTCCTGGTACCATGGACCTGTGTCCCGCAGCGCGGCCGAGTATCTGCTCAGCAGTTTAATCAACGGCAGTTTCCTGGTGCGAGAAAGTGAGAGCAGCCCTGGGCAGCTCTCCATCTCGCTCAGGTACGAGGGGCGTGTGTATCACTACAGGATCAATACCACCGCCGATGGCAAGGTGAGACCCGCCACCGCCTCTGGCTGTGGGGTAGAGTTAGAAACTATACTCAGATTCCTGTGACTTGAAATAAAGCAGTCACTGGTGTGAGTTTGGGCTGTTTGGCATGGGGAGAGCTTGTTCTTTTCCAAAGAATCTGGTAATGGACATTTAAAACAGTATTAATAGTTTAATGATGACCTAGGTGTGAAGGTGAAGAGTGAAGAAGTTGCTGGATACGGTAGCTGTTCTGATAATCATAGACATCCAATACCTTGTATATACTGTGTAGAATTTATAAATTAAACCTTATATCTTTGAAAAATACAATAATCTCTACTAAAAGGTTTACAAAGTAAGAGTTTAGGCTTCTGAGATGGGTATTGATTATAAATATAAACAGGCAAACGAATCATTTAGCCGTTTATGTGTTGGAAAGACCAACCATTTTAGAATGGCACCTGTAAACTGTAAAGCATAAGCTTATGCCACTTACTCTGTTGAATAGTAAACTTAGCCAGAATCACTTCTTCCATTCTTCCCTCTGTGTGAGGTGCTCAGTAGGGAGAGAGCACAGGTTTTGGAGCAAGGGGACCTGGTATGCTGTGTCACCCCACCATTGACTTATTAACTTTGTGACCTTACGTCAGCCTCAGTTTCCCATCCCACTCTGTTGGAATGTTGTGAAGACTAAATGAAGTAAATTCCATAAAACATAATGGCTGATACAGAATAGGAAATAAGTAAGTTATTTTCTGTCTCTTTTTTACCACCTTACAGAGATACTGTCTCTTGACAAAACCAAATAGGATCAGATAATAATAATGTAAGAGAGACCCAGCGACTGTACTTGTGGTTATATACCCAACAGAAATGAGTGCATATGTGTACAGAATGCATGCACAAGAATGTTCGTAGCAGCACTAGTTGTAATAGCCAAAGACTAGGAACACCCACTGTCTACCAATAGTAGAATGAATTAATAAATTGTGGTATGTTCGTAAAATGGAATCTCATACAACAAGGCGAACATAGTAGTACTGCACACGCCATCAGGAAAACCTGTGGCCCTCCAGCTGCCTGCTCTTGTATGTAAATAGAACTTGATTGGAATACAGCCACACCCATTGGTTTATGTATTGTCTATGGCTGCTTTCTCATAATTATAGCACATTTGAGTAGTTGCGACAAAGATGCTATGACCACAAGCCTAAAATATTTACTATCTGGCCCTCTACAGAAAAGTTCGCTGCTGCCCATCGTAGGTGAATCTTACCCAGGTAAAGCTGAGTGGAAGGGATCAGTGATGGCCGGGGAACGGGGTGGAGGGCAGTGGGAGTGACCGCTAACGGGCATGGGTGATGGACACGCTCTAGAGTTCGGTAGTGGTGGTTGGACAGCCTTGTGCATATACTAACGCCCCTGAATGTACCCTTGAAAATGGCGAATTTTATGGTATGTAAATTATAACACAATAAAAAAAAGTTGATTGAAAGAAAGCAGACACAAAACAACACATATTGTATGATTCTAAGGTGCTAGAAGTCAGCAGAGTGGTTAATAGCTGGGAGGGTGCAAGGAAAGCTTCGGGGTGCTGGTGATGTTATAATTCTCGGTGTGGGAGATGTTAACGGGTGAGTTCATTTTGTAAAAATCAGCAATTCTCCACTTACTAATTATATACTTGTCTGTGTACAAGTTTTGTTTTGTTTTGTTTTATAAGCTGCCTTGGGAGATTAAGGCCAAAGACTATCTTACTTGACATTTCTTATTGCCTATCACAGATTACTATTTTGTTAGCAACTCACTGAAATTAAATTGTGGCTCTTTTTTTAATGTCCTAGACACCCGAAGCACATCCTAATTAAATAAAAATTATATATTTGCATACTTTCTCTACCAAAAAAAAATGAAATCAGTGGTTTTCAAATTACGTTCTGTGCAAGACTCTGAGGGAGCGTTTCATAAATACTTTTACAGGAGGCCAAGTTTCCTCTTGCAGACTTGGATCACACCATCTCTTCCTTTATCTGTCTAATATATTTGGGTTCCATAGTCTTCATGCTTGAAAATATTTGAAGACCAGTGACCTTGATGATCCAGAGAAATATCTTGGAAGTTGTTTTTCCCAAGCCTACAGCTAACTTAGGAAGCATAGGAGTGGCTTAAATAAGATTAAACTGACGTTCTGTGTTTTTCCTTGCCATCATTATTTAATTCTTTCATTTACCTGGTAAGATAACCTCCTAGGCTCTTATCTTCAGACCAGGGAAATAACGGGCTTTTAAAAAGTTTCTGATCTCTTTTCAAGTCGATTTAGCTTTCCTTCTCTCCTCACCAGGTGTATGTAACTGCCGAGAGTCGCTTTAGCACCTTGGCAGAGCTGGTTCACCATCACTCCACGGTGGCTGATGGGCTGGTGACCACGTTACATTACCCTGCACCCAAGTGTAACAAGCCTACAGTTTACGGTGTGTCCCCCATCCATGACAAATGGGAAATGGAACGGACAGATATTACCATGAAGCACAAGCTCGGGGGTGGTCAGTATGGAGAGGTCTACGTTGGCGTCTGGAAGAAATACAGCCTGACGGTCGCTGTGAAAACGTTGAAGGTGGGTTTCTGAGAATTACAGTTTTCAGGCATCTCTTTCCTTTGTGCTGAATCACTTGGGAATGTGAGCATGCCCTTCTTTAACTTGGGAACACATTCCACCCACTGGTGCCGAGCACATCAGCATGTTGTGATCAGCGCTCGTGCCGCCGCCGAGAATGCCGAGGCAGGCTGCTCGCTGCAGTGACTCGAAACCCACATGTGGGGACGGCTTGTCTCTGCAGGCTGGGGATGTAGGTCTAGTGGGTGGTTAGAAGCAAATTACATCTTACAAAAGCAAACCGGGCCTCCTTACAACGACCCCTGCTGGACAGAACACACGCTCTCGCTCCCCCACACACACACACCTCTGGTTCTGCCCTTCAGCTCCATGCCTCTTGCTCCCCCCGTTCCCATGAGAATGGATCACTTCTTGTTTTTAATATTCACAGAAATCTTTTTTCCTGGTGGCACGCCCTCTTTTAAGCATCCTCGTCTCAGATGACAGGGTTGTCACACATCGTGTTCTCTGGAGATTCTCTATGTGTCTCAGTAGCTCTGCTGTATCACTAGGAAGGGCTGCTCTTGTGCTCTGAGTCGCGGTCAGAGCTTTCTAGCGAGTAGTTACTAAGCATATTGTGAGTGTGAAACTGCAAGGCCTTGCAAACATGCATTGCTCCTTAAGGAATTTGTCAGGGAGACAGACATGTGAACAGTGAGCTGCTCTGTCTCCTCTTTCAAAGGCTGAGCTGTCCAGAGGAGTAAACTCCCCAAGGACTGAGTTACCCTCTGAGTCTCCCAGTGTCAGCTGCGGCAGGACATAACTGCTGAAGTTTGCTCACCCTGCTCATTTTCACTCATTTCAAATATTGGGTAAATTCACATCTTTCTTTGTAAATGGACTTCTGTATAGCATGTTAGGTTATGATAAGATTTCTTGAAGTAATATGCAAAAATATTCAAAAGATGCCCCCTTTGAAAGCTGAAGTTTTAGGATTGTGAGTTGACTCAAATGATTAAGACGGGGGTTTGTCCCTTTCCTCTCTTTCTGTCTTACCTGTCGCCCTTTCTAGGAAGATACCATGGAGGTGGAGGAGTTCCTGAAGGAAGCGGCAGTGATGAAGGAAATCAAGCACCCTAATCTGGTGCAGCTGTTAGGTGAGGACGCGTGCCTGGACGAGCCACAGGTTTCCTCAGAGATGCTTGTCCCCAAACCCCGTTATCTCCAACCCCTTTTTTTGAATCACTGTGGTAGAAGCTCCACGGTGACTTATCTTTCCATAATGGTTGTCATTTTAAACAGCAGGCTCTGTGTTAAAAGTTGCCCATGAAACAATGGCCTGGATTGATGGCAATGTATAGAATGTGGTAGTCGCCCCTGGTTCAAAGTTCAGAGTCACTCAAAATGATTCCCAACCAGAAACTCGCAAATCCATTTCACAAAACAAAGAGACGTTAAACAAAGGACTATTGAAAAGAAGCAGATTAAAAATTGTGACCACACCCATCGGTTCACCTTTACCAGCAGGAAGTGCTGGGCTCTGAAAGATGGGTTGCTCACCTCACCTGTTCAGGTCACAAAGAAGCCTGTGTCTGCACCCTTTGCCGTTTTTAAAACAGGGCCACTTTCTTCGGGTGCTTAAAGGAGAGTCTTGTTCTTTACAAGGAACCTGTCATGGACCTGTGAAACTTTTGACTTTGGAAACAGTTATAATCTTTACAAAGCATTGCAGGCTGGGCTCACATAATCTTCAGCACAGGCACAACGGCGGTGCTGGTAGACAGGCGCTGTCAGCAGCAGCTGAGGACCGGAGTCGCGGGCAGAACGCTTCAAATTCCAGTCGTTCTGACCCCTTACGGAATTAACAAGTTCATGTTTGATATTCCATATCAAATTCAATATGAATTTCCAGGATTATATAATGGAAGTAGATACTCCCTTATCCATCAACTTCTTAACCCTGCTATATTCCAGAAAATGTGATGGCAAGGAAGGAAAAGATACGGCCGAATTGGGCTTTCCAAACTGTTGCTTATTCTTTCCTTTTTGTTTGTTTCAGTTTCAGGTGTACAATATATTAATAATAGTTAGACATTTACACTCCTCACAGTGATAACCCCACCCCCACTCTGTTACCCCTCTGACAGCACATACAGCTGTTACTGTACCATTGACTGTATTCTCTTTGCTGTACTTAACATCCTGTGACCAGATATAGATACAGATATAAAGAATTACAGTTGACATTCAATATTCAACTTCAGCTTCAGGTGTACAGCGCAGTGGTCAGGCATCTACACCGTCCATGAAGCGGTCTCCCTGATAAGTCCGGTGCCCATCTGGCACCCCATGTGATCTTGATAACATTATTCATTATATTCCCTCCACATAGCCTTTACAACATTAGTGATTCTATCCCCCACACCTGTTGCTTGTTCTTGCCTAAGTGGTTTGGAGTATTTGAGTGCATACCAATAAAACAAGCTTTGTTTTGAACTGTCAGGTGTGTGTACTTTGGAGCCACCATTTTACATCGTGACTGAATACATGCCCTATGGGAACTTGCTGGATTATCTCCGAGAATGCAACCGAGAAGAGGTGACTGCAGTCGTACTGCTTTACATGGCCACTCAGATCTCCTCTGCCATGGAGTATTTAGAGAAGAAGAACTTCATCCACAGGTGTGTAAAATCTGATTAATTGCCTGTGATTAACCATGAAACTACCTTGCTTGTCTTGCAAATAAAGGGAAGAATGTGAGAACCTTCCCAGAAGTTTCCAGGTGATTCAGGAAAGTCGTTTTCCTTTTTACAGGGCCTGTTATAATGTTATTTCAAACTTATAAACCTACTGTACTCTGATTAAAGTATTAATGAGGGGCCTTTGCTGTTCCAAGCGCCTTTAGCTCCATCTAGTGGCTTAATTTAAAACCCGGCTTCCTATATGTTCAGCCTACATAAATAAGTTCTAGTGCATTAATTTTTAAAGTAGTTTTTAAAATATCAGATGGTTTTATTTTAAAACCAAAACCTTTTTTGCCCCCTTTACTAAACTGTTGAGGGAAAAGCTTAACTAGGTATTTTAAACTTGTACAGCATTCTTTAGAATTGGGAGAGTCTAGCCTTATTTTCACAAAACAAAGAAGTCTCAAGTTAATATGAAAATGTATTTAATTTTTTTCTGAGTCATTGCAATTCCTACTCCTTAAGTTATGATAAATAGTACATTATGGCTAGGGTTGCCAGATAAAATGCTAGACATCATACAATATTAAGGACATACTTATATTTGAAAATTATTCATTGTTTATCTGAAATTCAAATTTAATTATATCCTGTATTTTTATTTCCTAAATCCGGCAGTTCTATTTATGGCATGGTGTAATGCACCACAAACAGTTTGGTTTCTTTAAAGTGAACAATTTATAGAAACTTTTAAAACAATCTAAGTATAAAATACTTAGGTTTTTTCATTTTACAGCAACTTCCCGCTCCCAAGTTTACTTAAATTGTCCTAACCACACCTAATTCGACAACTAATTTTTTAAAGCTATTTTTATTGTCATTCCAAAGCAGTTTTTATTGCAACAGAAACTTTATCTTTTTATTTTTATTTTTTAGGAACTTTCTTTTTAATACTCATGTTTTCATCAATACAATAGCAAATGCAACTAACAGGTCTGGGTACAAAATAGCTGGCAATGCAGAACCCAACTGCAAGGAGAGTCACAGGCTTCAGTACAATTTTTAGAAAGGATGTAAAACCCGTTAAATCCAGGGAGTTGGTTAAGTGGAGGCTGGCTAAACGAGCTTTTGCTGTGTTTTTTCAATTTGTCTTTTCCGTAGTAGAATTTCCCATGAAGTGTACACATCACATGAAACCTTCATGTTTCACTCACTGGATGACACGCTGAACACTCACTTTGATCACTGCTCTTCCATCTGTTACTTCCTAAGTGGTAGAGCAGATTCATAGCCAGAATCCAACTATCATCTGTGTGTTAACATGCATTAGTTACCATGGGGTGTTTATGAAGCCCACATAATACCAGAAGTGATTTGTGCAAATAATGAGTTTCTGCTGAGATTTTTACTGGTTCCATAAGAAGCACTGTGGTATTGCGAAGGGCAGAAGGAGGGGAAATAGGTTATCAGTCCAAATCCTGATTTTCAAATAACCACAAATATCACCAGAGCATATAGAACTTACCATGTAACATAATGACTAAATGTAACTAACAAATGAACAAAACTGAGCACACAGGCTAGACTAGGAACAGCAAAAGCAATAAGCAGCCCACATGTGCAAATGTCTTCTCTAGATAATAGCTTGAGATTTTTCAAAGATGCTTACATACTTACTCAAACTGAAGTCACGCCTTCCATACAAAGTTCAATTTGCTAAAATGCTATAAAAGTACAAAAATATTTTTAGCTCATACTTTTGCACAACTATCCGTCCCCTTTGAAGAAATCAGTACTAAACTTTCAGTCATAGAGAAGCTTGTTCAGGTCAGTAGTACACAGCTGAACTTCCATAATTGAGTTGGGTGCCCAACTTGCAGGTATTCAGTGAAAAGAAGGACAAGAGTCCTTATAGGACATTTCCCCCCAGTTCCCATCTTTTGGCAGTTTTATCACTGGAATAAAATAAGATTGTCTATGGCAGTGGTTCTCAACCTGTGAGTCGCAACCCCTTTGGGGGTCGAACGACCCTTTCACAGGGGTCGCCTAAGACTGTCGGAAAACAAAAAGATATTTACATTACGATTCATAACAGTAGCAAAATTACAGTTATAGAGTAGCAACGAAAATCATTTTATGGTTGGGGGTCACCACAACATGAGGAACTGTATTAAGGGGTCGCAGCATTAGGAAGGTTGAGAACCGCTGGTCTATGGATCTGTTTATTTAAAGTACATTACCAGTTTCAGACCAGACTAGTCCAGGAATAAATGTTAGGTCCTGTGACAGCACCACTCTCCATCCAATGTAACATCTCTACAAAGGGAAGATCCACAGTACTAGCCAGGAATATCTTATTTGCTAGTTAGAAAACATCCCTGAGCAGTTTCAAGGCGATACCCTGTCATGTGGATTTTTACATTATACAAGCATTCCACTTTCCTGCACCCATGTTCCTAAAATACCATTTATAGGACAGAATCTGGACCTAAAGTAAAGTTCCAATACAAGTCATCACATATTTAATATCCCACTATCAGTGGTCTACTATTGTATGACCTATTTGTGGACGCGATATAAGTGACAATCCTACAGTACCAATTTTTAAATTCATCTATGTAAAATGTGATGAGAATTAACATTTCAAGTCTTGTTTTATTTAATGAACATTCACTGGTATGGATAAGAAGCACTTTTTCGCTCCTGAAACACTTTCTTCATAAGATTTCATATTAAGAATTAAAAACTTCATAAATTATAGTTTGATAATATTTAGCCTATTAATTTTCTAAAGGTTATTAAATCTTATAGTTTGAGTCAGCAACCATTTATTGTAAAAATAAGTTTATTGATGATAATGTTAGATAATTTACTCCTGATATTTGATGTTACAAACTTTAGGGTCTTTGAGATACACAGGATCCTTGTATGTAACTGGCATAAAACCTGTAAAGAGATAATTAAAGCTCTTAAATGATAATGAGCAAAATTCTGATTAGCCCAAATTAGTTTTTCAAATGCTCTTACCCATTATTTGAGCTCTCTTAATCGCTTTTGTGATTTCTTTTTATTTCCACAAAGACCTGTAAAAACAAAAGGCTTATTCATAAAAAGTGTCAGTAACCAAAATGTGTAACAATTGACTAAGTCAAGGAACCGATGGCAAACCTGTAAAGAGCCAGACAGTAAATATTTTAAGTTTTGCAGACCATACAGTCCCTGTTACAACTTCTCACCTCTACTGTTTTAGCTTACAAAGCAACCAGCTATAGACACTTCAAAAACTAAGCTATTTGTAAAAGTAAGTGGCAGATCCAATTTGGCTTATGGAAAATAGGCCCCTGTTTAAATAATAGTCTAGATATGACTATAGTATACTCCAAAAGTATCAACACAGTTTTTTAAGGCCAGGTTTTCTATGTGTGAGCTTATAGTTGGTTACCTCTAAGCATAAGACATGTGTAAAAATACCTCTTTTGGCCTAAGATCCTTTCTTAAATACTAAGCTTTCTAACAGTGATCTATAGCACAATTTGAAAATTTGCCAGTTTTATTAAGTAACAGATTTACATAATTCTTATCTATGTTTAACTTGCTATATGGGAGAACACAATACCTGTTAGGTGCCTTCCATAAATGCATCCAGTAAATGGAGAAATAAACTGGGACAAAAGCATAAAAAAAATTTAAAAATAAAAACCAGCTTCCTTCTGAGCAGCAGCGGTTCGAGTCCAGCCCAAGCTGAGCTGCCGCTGAGCTGCCAACAGGTGGCAGGATGGCTCAGCTAAAAAAAAAAAAAAAATACCAGCTTCCTGTCATAGTAAAGAACTTGAACCCTGTGGAAGAGTCTGTCACTCATCTCCAAAACCTGTCCTAGTGTGCAGCTGCCCCTTGAACGGCATGGGTTTCACCTGTGTGGGTCCACTTATACACAGATGGTTTTTTCAATAAATATGTACAGTACTGTAAATGTATTTTGTCTTATGATTTTCTTAGTATCATTTTCTCTAGCTTATTTTGTAAGAATACAGTATATAATACATATAACATATAAAATATGTATTAATTGATTGTTTATTATCTGTAAAGCTTCCAGTCAACAGGAAGCTATTAGTAGTTAAGTTTTTGGGGGAGTCAAAAAGTTATATGCAGATTTTCAGCTGTGCGCAGGGTAGTGGGGGAAAGGAACGCCTCAATCCCCATGTTCTTCAAGGGTCAGCAGTCCTTATGATTAGGAACCCATTTTCTGAAGCCTGCTTTATTCCAGCATCACATAACCGCCTCTTGATGACTACAAGTGTTATATAATTAGCAGCTTTCTACCATGTATGTTAGTGATTATCATAAAATACTGTTATATCTGTTGTACTTCTCAGCTCTGCTTGTAGCACACAGAACCGAGAGTATAGCATTTGTGACCAGTTTCCTGACCATCTGAGTGGAATCACATTAGGATTCTCTTTCCCACAGAGATCTTGCAGCTCGTAACTGCCTCGTGGGAGAAAACCATGTGGTGAAAGTGGCTGACTTTGGCTTGAGTAGACTGATGACTGGAGACACCTATACCGCTCATGCCGGAGCCAAGTTTCCTATTAAATGGACAGCGCCCGAGAGTCTTGCCTACAACACCTTCTCCATTAAATCTGACGTCTGGGGTAAGGATGGCTGGGACTTTTCTGCACGTGCCATTTTACTGTCCTTATACAAGTTCTTCATTCTTTCTTTTTTAAATCCAAAATGTGTTTATTGGGATGGTTCCTCACGCATCCTGATTCAGGGTGTTCTTAGTTTTTAGTGCTGCTTCCTTCTGTAGGAGCATCCTTCTGTGAGCCTTGCCTTTCCTCCTGTGGCTGACGGAGGACCGTGGGGCAGCCAGCACACAACACTGCTGCTGGTGCATGGCTGAGGCCGGGCGTGATTTTATAGCTGCCTGGGCATTTCGCGTCCAGGAAGGCGCAGTGGGGCTCTGCACAGGCGCTGCTTCTGTGTTTCCTCTTCTCCTCGGGGGAGGGATGCAGGAGGTCCTTAGTGAGAGGCATGTACTCGTGGGGAAGGCTAAATGTTCTTAATTCTGTAGAGCTTCTCTTTTATATGACCAGTGTCCTTTCCCTGTACCTGCGTCCTTCTTCAGTCATTCAGCAAACATTTATTAAATCCCTACTACCTGCCAGGCATGGTGCTAGGCACTTAGCATAGAAAGAAGTATAAAGAAGAAAGTAAAACAAGTCTCTGCCTTCAAAGAACTCACAACCTTGCTCTTATATTGCACTGGAGTTCTAATGACCCTCTCTCTGCAAAGCGCCCTGCTTTCTACCTTGGGTTTTATTGCTTGTTTCCAGAGCACTGGGACAGAGTACCATCCTCTTTTCAGAGAAGGCATGCTGAGGTTTCATCTAGAATTTGTCCTTGTCACTGATCTTGTTTCTGCTACCCTGAAAAGCAGTAGGATTTAATAGAGGCTCAGTGGACTGAGCAAGTCTGGAAATTTGGACTATGGGCCAATAGAAATAGCTGTAGGATTCTAAGTCACTGTTTACCAGAAATTTCAAACTCAGAAATAACCTGTGACAAAGTCAAGCAAATTCTTATATATCTACTGTGAATTTTATCTGATTTTAATGAGTCTTTCTTTATATTTACTCCTCTGATAGTAGCCAACTTAAAAACTGTGAAACTCATTAAATAGATCAGAGATTGTTCTAAGAATAGTTTGGTTATGCCCCAGACGTCTTATGTTGTCATAGTTTATTGTCCTTCGTTGTAGTAAAGGAAATCTAAATAAAAAATGGGAAATTTAAAGAAAACCATCCTGAGGCTATACCTGAAGCGTTCTGTGGAAGATACCTTAGAAGGATAAGTCATGCTCTAAGAATTAGAAGAATATACTTTGGGTAACTGATTGTCACCCAGAATTTGAAAGATAAGTTCCTAATGGTATAAGATGAGTAATAAATCAGAGAAGAAACATTAATCTTTTTTTTTTTCATTCCTTATGCAGCTTTTGGAGTACTGTTGTGGGAAATTGCTACATATGGAATGTCGCCATACCCAGGTATTGACCTGTCTCAGGTATACGATCTACTGGAAAAAGGATATCGAATGGAACAGCCTGAAGGATGTCCCCCTAAGGTTTATGAGCTCATGAGAGCATGTGAGTATTTTTGCATATTTTAATTTTGGTTGAAGTCAGCAATTCAGGGTGATCAACAAAATTGGAAACATTTTTCTTCTCCGTGTTGTTAGATTGAACTCAAGCTCATGACATCGAGTTGGTCACTGAGCAGCCAGTTGGTGTATTGTGTGCTACACCGTCAAGTCTTATTGGAATCTTAAGAATTGTTGTCCAGTGCCCAAATACTGACTCAATTACCAAAAAACACTGGCATGTTTAATAGGATGAGGAAATTGGGTTTCGAGTTTAGGTAGGGGAGGACTGTTTTCAGCTAGACAAAAGTGATTGCTAAAGACTAGGGGGATACAGGTAAGTAACCTCTGTGGTGAATAATGAAAAGCATCTGACTTCTTGAAGATGCTAAAAGTAGGAAGGTGATTCGTGAATTAAATTGCAGTTGTGTTTGAGCATAAATCGTATTTTCTCATTGCGCATTGGCATTACTTACTGCCCTGTCTTTGTCAAATGTAAACTTGAAGCCGCTTCTTCCTGATATCCTGTTACTTTTTTGTGTGTTTGTTTTTGTTTTAGCTGAGCCATCCTGCCACCTGTTGGCAGCTCAGCAGCAGCTCAGCTCGGGCCGGGAATCGAACTAGCAACCCTGTTGCTCAGAGCTCGTACTCTTGAGCGAGCTCTTAACCAACTGAGCCACTTGGCCAGCCCTCCTGTTACATTTTTGAATAGGTACAGCTGATGACATATCAGGTTAGAGTGAGTTTGAAGACAGGTTTAACTTCTTTTAATTTTCCAGTGGAAGGAAACTTGCCATTTTCTAAACTATGTCCCCACCCCTCTTCGTTCCTACAGTAGAGGGGATATGAGCTGAGGCTGCTAGAAGGACCCGCCCTAGGAAGTGGGTTCATTACCCTCTGAGTTCGGAAGCTGGAATCGGCCGCATCACTACCATTGTGCACATGCTGTAACTCTGCTTAACAGGCACACATCATGATGCATGGGACACTGTGTCGGGTGTGCCACTAGATGTGTAATTCCTGCGAGGAGCTTTGACTATTTCCTTTTTGTGTTACACAGGCTGGAAGTGGAGCCCTGCCGACAGGCCCTCCTTTGCTGAAACACATCAGGCTTTTGAGACCATGTTCCATGACTCCAGCATCTCTGAAGGTGAGCATGTGGTGCTTCACTGTGGGTGGCTAGTTCTGGGGCGGCGTTGGGGGGGTGGGAGAATCACATTTCAAAAACAATAGACTCTTGTAGCGTGGGACTCCATTTCAGGATATTGAATTAATTCTTGGCCTTCATTATTTTTGTTTTGCTTTTCTTTTTGCTATTTTTAATATCTTTGTGTTTACATAATTTTAATATTGAAATTATATTTTAATTAGAAGTTTAGTGTTTTCATAAAGAAAATAAGTTCAGTAGTTCTTTAAGCATTAACACTTATGTCGGGAAGAGAAGAGGAAAAAATGAGAAGGAAAACTATTGCAACTCCCTGAACCACACCTACAAAGGTCATAGAAGCAACAAGTCCAAAGAAACCAAGTCAAAGAAGCAACATCCAGAAATCGCATTTCTGGAAATAAATCCTAAGGAAATAACTGAGAGTATGAACAAATATTGAGCTACAAAGGTGTTGCATCAATGTGTAGTTCATAATATTGAAAAATTATGACCAATCTAAATACCTAGTGGGCTGTTAATTATTTTAATCTATATATCGTATATTTCAAATGATATTCTTAAATACTGACATGGAAAGGAGTTTAGAATGAGCATATTAAGTTATGATATGAACAGTGAGAACTCTTCTTACCTGAAAAACAAGTGGGTGGATACGTATAGACAGTTTCTTTTGTGTATAATGCCTCTCTAAAATTATCGGCAAAAGTCAGACAATACACTTAACTTGCTATAAAAAGAGACTATTCCCAGAGAGCCAAAAATACAAAACTATTATTGACAATTGCTGATTAGACACTTGGATACAGTTCCATTTTATACATATTCAAAAATTTTCCTTTTCTTCATAATTGAACAGAGAACTTACTGCTTAAGTTTAAGTTTAAAAATGGTAGAAAAAGAAATCAGGCAAGTTGGTTCTTGTCTGCTTCCCTTAGTGATTTACCACGTCTGGTAAGAAGAAAGGCAAAAGCACAGCGCTACAGTTTGGTAGTAAGTGTTTACATCCTATCCTTTGCTGAGTGGAGCCTCTGCAGGTTGGGGAGGGCGCAGCTGCCCTCTCCCAGCTCACTGCTTTCTTCTGGGTGCTTTTTTCCCATGTGGAGTCAAAGGGGTAATGTCATGAATATCGGCCAAGAGTAGGGCCATTTCTCTAGTACTTTTGTTCCAACTTTTTTTTTTTTTTTTAATTTCTTTGGGGAATTGAGGAAGGGGAGTGTTTTTCCAGGACCCATCAGCTCCAAGTCAAGTTGTTGTCCTTCAGTCTTAGTTGTGGAGGACGCAAGCTCAGCTTCAAGTCCAGTTGCCGCTTTCAATCTAGTTGCGGCAGGGCACAGCTCAGCTCGGACGCAGCTCACTGGCCCATGTGGGAATCAAACTGGCAATCCTGTTGCTCAGAGCACATGCTCTAACTAACTGAGCCACTCGGCCAGTCCTTGTTCCAACTTTTAACTTCTGTTGAATCCTCAGTTAAATATTTCTTCTTCTCTTGAAAATGTTATATCCTTTTAGAAAATCATCCCTTATCAATTTTCAAAGCTAATTTCAATTCAGAATTCCTAAATGATAAATTTAGCATTATTCAACCCGTATTTGATTAAGCATTTAACCTGTGGCAAGGACTATGCTAGGTCTGAGGACACAGAGATAAGACAGTTCCTATCTCAAAGGATGTGTTTATTAGTTGTAAGTGAAAAAAGCCTCACTCAAACTTTAAGTCATAAGAGGATTTATTGGCTCCCAAACAAACCATGGAAAAGCAGGGTGGTGCTAACCTCGGCCTGTGGAAGCCACGCCCTCGAGTAGCTGCAGATGTTCTGCTTCTCCCTCCCTCTCCCTCCTTCCCACCCAGCATCACTCTATCCTCAGGGACCTCCCAGTGACATTGGACACAGTTGCCAGCACCCTTGAGGTCATGCCTGTGTCCCAGCTGCTGTGAACAGCAGCGTCAGAAAGGACCCTCACTGGCTTCGGTCATGTGCCATGTACCTACTCTTGTGGGATGTTAATTTTTAAAAGTAAATACCAAAAAAAAAATTGTAAAATAATTATAAAATTTCACAATTTAATTGATCTTGCTCATTCATTTTTGTTTAGGAATGAATAGCAGAGTATGTCTTTGCCTCAGTAAAAGCCACAGAACCCATGACCAAGTTTAGCCAGTGAGGCTAATAGGTGAACACTTTTTCAGGAGCCTGATTTGCATGGAATGGAATGTATCTACCCTCCTTTTTAGTATAGTGTGCAACCGAAAAAATAAAAGTGTCTACTGACATCTGTCTGCTTTGTTCAGCCTCTGAACAGGCACCTGGTAAACAAGGATAGACAAATGGCTGGGAAGCACGTGAAGCCATGCTCAGCGTCACTGCTCACCAGGGAAGCACAAAACAAAACAATGCGATCCCTCTACACACCTACCCCAGAGAGGCTAAAATTAAAACCAGACAAAACACCTGGTAACATAAAACTGGCAAGCGTGCTGAGTAACCAGAACTTGCACACAGTGCTAGCGGGCGTGTAGATTGGGACAGCCATCTGGGGAGACAGCTGGGCAGGACCCCACAAAACTGAATTCATGTGCACCCCCCGACCCCCAGTCCTGCTCCTGCTGTGTCCCCAGGAGACATGCATGCAATTGTGAACCAGAAGGTGTAGCAGGATGTCCTTAGCAACATAACAACCCAACCTGGAAACACCTTAACCCTCCGTCGGGCACAACTGATCTCACAGATTCATCGCACACCAAGATGCCGCTACGAAATACGTCTTTACTAAGTCGATAGTAACCTAAGACTGGCGATAGGTTACGGTAGAGGAAGATACGAAAGCGATGAGTCACGATACTTAACTTTTAGATATTTGAAAATCTGTGTGCAATGAATCTATGAGATCAGTTGCACCCGACGGAAGGTTAAATGTTCATCCAGAGAAGAATGGGTGAATTTTGGTATATGAGTAGTCACACACTTGAGCCAATTCACAGCGATGAGGAAAACATTCCTGCCACGTGCAGCAGCAGGAGTCCACAGACATTGCCAAGCAAAAGAAGCCAGACAGAAAAAGAGAACGTATTCTGTGATGCCGTTTGTGCATTTCAGTCCTGTGTTCTTCAGTTCTTTCTCAGTTGTATGCCTTTTCTGAAAAGAAAAAACTCCCTTTCCCTGTCATGAGACTGTTGTTTTGATCAGTCGCCTTGTCTTCCCCACAGAGGTAGCAGAGGAGCTTGGGAGAGCCGCCTCCTCCTCATCCGTTGTTCCTTACCTGCCCCGGTTACCTATACTCCCTTCCAAGACCCGGACGCTGAAGAAACAGGTGGAGAACAAGGAGAATATCGAAGGCACTCAAGACGCCATCGAAAACTCTGCTTCCAGCTCTGCACCAGGTATGGGCCCCTGTGCAGGCCTTGTTTAGAGAACCCTGGGCTATGCTGCCTCCATGCCTGCTTTCCTGCCCGTCCTCCCTGAGGAGAGTGTGGCTGGCACCTGTCTCACTGACCACTCTGGTCCTCACCGCGAAGACCAGTGTTAGTAGTCCTATCCACGTCCTGGCATGCAACCCTGCCTCCCATGCCATTGCCTTAACTCCCGAGTCCCAAAAACGGTCCATCTTCGTGCTTCCTCACTGAACCTGATCCATGAGGCCAGGCTGGACTGTAGCTTTTAGAGAAAAGCTGCAGGCCGAGATGCAAACCAGCAGGGCGCCTCTTCCCATTTACATCCCATGTCGCATTTGTAGCACTTTATTAGTTTCCCCTGAGTCCTGCTAACACCTGACAAAACTCTTACAGTTCAGCCTTAGTAACTCGAGTGTAATGGAGTGACTTCCTGTCTTTCACGTTACTGATTGGCTGTTTCTCATCAGGGTTCATTAGAAGTGCACAGGCCCCCACTGGGTCCCCAGCACTGCCTCGGAAGCAAAGAGACAAGTCACCCAGTAGCCTCTTGGAAGATGCCAAAGAGACCTGCTTCACCAGGGATAGGAAGGGAGGTTTCTTCAGCTCCTTCATGAAGAAGAGAAATGCTCCCACACCCCCCAAACGCAGCAGCTCCTTCCGAGAAATGGAGAATCAGCCCCACAAGAAATATGAACTCACGGGTAACTTCTCGTCCATTGCGCCTCTCCAGCATGCCGAGGGGTTCTCTTTCACTCCTGCCCAGCAAGAGGCGAATCTGGTGCCACCCAAGTGCTATGGGGGGAGCTTTGCACAGAGGAACCTGTGTAATGACGACGGTGGTGGGGGTGGGGGCAGTGGCACTGCTGGCGGGGGGTGGTCTGGCATCACAGGCTTCTTTACACCGCGCTTAATCAAAAAGACACTGGGCCTACGAGCGGGTAAACCCACAGCCAGTGATGACACCTCCAAGCCTTTTCCAAGGTCAAACTCTACATCTTCCATGTCCTCAGGGCTTCCAGAGCAGGATAGGATGGCAATGACCCTTCCCAGGAACTGCCAGAGGTCCAAGCTCCAGCTGGAAAGGACAGTGTCCACCTCTTCTCAGCCAGAGGAGAATGTGGACAGGGCCAATGACACGCTCCCCAAAAAGTCAGAGGAAGGTGCTGCTCCAACCAGGGAGAGACCAAAAGCCAAACTTCTGCCCAGAGGGGCGGCGGCTCTTCCTCTGAGAGCCCCCTCTGGGGATCCAGCCACCACAGAGAAGGACTCTCCAGGGGTGGGGGTGGCTGCCCCCAAGAACAAGGAGAGGAACGGTGGGGCGCGACTTGGCATGGCTGGAGTCCCGGAGGACGGCGAGCAGTCAGGCTGGTCTTCTCCAGCCAAGGCTGCGGCCGTCGCCCCTACCACTCACAACCACAAAGTGCCCGTGCTCATCTCGCCCACTCTGAAGCACACTCCGGCCGACGTGCAGCTCATTGGCACAGACTCTCAGGGGAATAAGTTCAAGCTCTTATCCGAGCATCAGGTCACAGCCTCTGGAGACAAGGACCGACCCCGACGGGTAAAACCAAAGTGTGCCCCACCCCCGCCACCCGTGATGAGACTACTGCAGCATCCGTCCATCTGCTCAGACCCCACGGAGGAACCGGCCGCCGACACACAGGAAGGGGGGAGAAAGGCAGCTCCAGGGGCAGCGCCCACCAGCGGGAAGGCTGGGAGGCCTGTGATGCCGGCGCCTCAAGTGCCTCCGCCCGCGTCTTCCGTCTCGCCGGCCAAAATGGCCAATGGCACAGCAGGTACGAAAGTGGCTCTGAGAAAAACCAGGCAGGCAGCTGAGAAAATCTCAGCAGACAGAATCAGCAAGGAGGCCCTGCTCGAATGTGCTGACCTGCTGTCCAGCGCGATCACGGAGCCGGTGCCCAGCAGCCAGCTGGTGGACACTGGGCACCAACTGCTCGACTACTGCTCAGGCTATGTGGACTGCATCCCTCACACTCGCAACAAATTTGCCTTCCGAGAGGCTGTGAGCAAACTGGAACTCAGCCTGCAGGAGCTGCAGGTGTCTTCAGCAGCTGCCGGCATGCCCGGGGCGAGCCCCGTCCTTCATAACTTACTGTCATGTGTGCAGGAGATTAGTGACGTGGTGCAGAGGTAGCCACTGCCAGCCTCGTGGGCAGGTGCACACGCCTCTGAGGGGAGAGGGGGCGGACTCGTTTTCCTGTGTTCTTGTTTTCAAAAAATGAAAGACTGATACTTGAGTGTGTTTATGTGAAGTACCTCAGATCTCTGAGATCTCACGTTTACAGGTTCATCTCAAAAATAACAAAGCAAAACTCCTAGGAGAGGGAAAGTAGGTGGGGGGAGGGGCAGCCGTGGACAGGATTGGAAGCTGCACGGGAACATCAGGGAACGTGTGTGTCATGCCGTGAAGAACCAAATCCAACCCATCCTCACTTGGATGACACAAGGCATGAGACAGGGCTGCCCTCAGCAGTGCCATGAGGCTGCCCAGACAGCGGGCTGGCTGTGGCCCTCGGGCCATACAGAAGGGGACTGGCTTAGGGCTCCACCTCCCCTAACGAATTTGGTGGAACAGAAGAAGGGAAAGCTGGGAATGTACCAAGAAAAGTTTCGCTCAAGGCTGTTGGAAGCAGCTATTAGCCTGGCTTCCACAGATCACTGCTGCAATGAGAACTGCACGTCCAACTGCCAGAATTAGCAAGCCGGGACACATGGCCCCAGCCGTATGCTCCTGTGCTGTTTCCCACGGGTGTGTTAATTGTTGCAGGAAGTAAAGAATGCTGGGAAGTGTAGTCAGGGAGATTAAAGCCTCCTCCCAAAATCCTAACATCAGTCAGCAGAAGTCACTCCTCCCCGTCCAGCGGGACTGGCTTTCTGCTTGTTGGTCCCTGTCTGTGAACCACAGGCATAGGGGTCTCTTCAGGGGTGCTTCTCTGTCCCTTGTTGGGCAAGTTGTCTTCCTTTATTCCTGGCAACATTTGGGGCATTAACTAACATGGATTTTGAAATTAGTGATCATGGACAGGCTCTCCCAGGGGAATCCTTTTCTGATACAACGCACCCGCGTTAGTGACATATTGGTCAAGGGCATGAGCAGCTGTGTATTTCTTTATCAACTAAAAGAGAAGGGTCTCTTCTTGAAACTCAGTAGCCAGGCCCAGAGGTCTGAGACTGAGGAGCTGCTGGCTTGGTCCTCATGGCTGTTCCTCTGTACCTTTCTCCTCCCTTGTCACCTTAGACCCAATCTGGTAGAAAGTAGGGAGAAGCATTCTCTCTTTCCAGATTTCAAATGAATTGCCCCAAATTATTCTCACATGCTTTTCTCCTCTCTCATTCCCCCCCCCCCGCCCACACACACCATTGTGCTTGTTTGTAAAGATCATATTGGGAATCTTTTCTGATTTATTTTAATATCGTATTGTAAGAATGTATAAGTGAAGGAACACGTCATTTCCAGGGAACGTTAGGCCCTGGAAACCTAATGAGTTTAACCCTCAGATACGTTTTGCCTTTGAAAAATAGGCCCTTTCCTTCCCTACTCATTTAATAACAATGGAAGTGAATTCAGATCACAGGGAACCGAATCTAATTAACCAATATTGATATTCTCGATATCAGGTCTAATTCCAGTTACCACTTCATTCTCTTTTTCAAGCTTTATGACCCCCTTCTCCCAAGGAGAACCCAATACAAAAAAATAAATACATTATTTTTTTCCTTCCAAAGGAATATTAACTTAGAAAGATAGGAATTCAGCATTGATGAACAGAATGAATTTTCTTCTTGTCTCTGCCATCCGTCCAGTCAAGCCACAGCCCCATCTCCTAACCTAGTAAACAAAGGTAACAGTACATGTTCTCATGGGTGTTTTACAGATATGGGCATAGCGACCCCTTGGAAAGCCTCCCTTGAAAGCTCTTTAGTGTAGTGTTACATTGAATGGTTTTTGTTATTTTTGTATCTCTTCTTTGCTCAGTAGCAGATCATGAAATTTAGAACTGCTGAGATTATATTAATGGGGCTAGAATACTAAGGGGGTGTGGGGACTATGTTTTGGACAGAGTTTGGCATTGTTGACCAAGGAGGAAATTTAGTTTTCATCAGAAAGAAAGGAAACACTGTTTCTTATCATGGCTGCTCAAAAGGAAGCCCAGGCCAAGAGAGGGATAAGACACGGGAGACAGTACTGGGCGTTCCTTGCAGGGGTTGGGTGATGGTCTATATGTTACCTGAAGACACAGCACAGGCAACTAGGGGTATGGTTGGAAGGGAAGATAGAGCCTCTCTAACTTGGATTTAAACCAGTAGTCCTCCTCCCATCTCCCCCTTTGCTTTTCCCCTTCATCACATCATACACTTCCATAAACTTGAAATCGTTTTAGCAATTAGCCTTTTCAGGGTGGGGCAGGGAAAGCTAAAACTTTAGAATATTATTGCTGCTTTTTTATGTTTATCCCTGTCGTTGTGGGATGCAAGTTGAGGGATTATAATTGTTTTTCAGGAGACCGCCCCCCCCCACACACCTCCCCACCAAGCAAGGGATCTTTCCTAGAGAGCTCTGAAAACAAGCCTCTGAGGAGGCCTCCTGCGTGTACTTGGGCTCCCTGCTCTTCTCACCGGAGCGCAGCCTGGAGGGTGGGGCTGTGTCTTACTCAGGGCGGCACCTGGCCCGGCCTGCCCATGGTGGGTGCGCAGTCAGGTCAGGCGTGGAATTGCTTTTCCTCAGCACTGTCAATCAGAGCGTTAGCACACCCCACCCCCGTGATGCTTGAACTGTAACTTCAGGAGTGGAGGGCTCAGGGTTCAGGTTAAAGAGGCACTGTCAACTTATTATAAAAGTACAATTTAGGTCTTTCCTCCTTCTACTTGGAAAGAACCAGATTTTATACATAACCTTATGTAAATTTAAAAGTTTGAATTCAAAGCAGAGAAAACTGCTTCTGGAAACTAAAAATGTAGTTTAATTTTATCTTTTATCTAGTGTAAAAGCAAAGCAGAGAGCAGGAGCAAAATTCCTTTTCCAAAATGTTGAAAACTTTCTCAAGTGGGTTTGTACATAGATGCACACCTTTGGGCCACCACAGCATGAATCCGTTCATGTACAGATACTGTGATGTCAGTTTGGATTTCTACCTTACAATGCAGTGTTTGGTGTAGAACACATCTTCATTGTGCTTTACATGAAGTATTTTCTTAAAAGGCTTTGTGTAAAATTAAAATGTGTATATTTTCCTACGGACTTCCATCGTGATGTTCAGAGATGCAGCCTTAAAAAAATTGGCCCTAAGAAAGCCTTTTGGTGTTTTCCCAGATGACTGCTCTACATTGAGGCCATTAAAGTGGAACCTTATGCCTCGCTGCATTTTGGGGTTTAAATTAGAATTTTCTTATCATTCAATTGCAAGTTGGCTAATAAAATAGTGCCCAGTTAATAAATCATGCTGACTCTGCTAAGGCACAGCCCACATTTATTTAAAGCCAGTCCCGAAGGCAAGTCATTCAACCTTCCTGAGCCTTAGTTTCCTCATTGGAAAACAGGGATGATAATAGTAACTACCTCAGGGTTGTTTAAGGATTAAATGATAATATATGTAAGATGCTTAGCTGGAGTGCCTGGCATATAACGAGCACTCCATAAACACTAACTTCTATTATTAAGAAATAGTCCAGTGAGTCTTAGCCAGGGATGTGCAACCAAATCCCCTGCGGTTTAAAAAAAAAAAATCTGATGCATTGGTCGGAATTCCCAATGGGGTGTGGTGTCAGCCTGTGTGTTTTCCACAAATTCCTCCAGGCGTGTCCGACCCCAGCACTGTCTGTACACTTTTCTTTACAGCTTAACGGAACTGGAAGAGAGGATGGTTAAGTTACCTGCCTGTTATCAGAGCAGTTCATTAGTGGCGGGCGGAGCCAAGGCTGGGGTGTGGGGTCTGTGCCGTCCGCGCAGCCTTGTGAGACACTGCCGAAAAGTGGCTCAGATGGACAATCAGTGTGCACAGTCGGCACTAAGCACACGTTCCTGGCACCTGACCTTCAGGGGCTTGAATGTTGAGGAATGGCGCACTAGCACAGCAGGCCTTTTATAGAGTCAGTGATTTCAAAATTTAGAGGGAGTCATTCTTTGGGACAGACCTAGCAGCACAGCAGTCTGCACTTTGTAATAAATACCGAGTTAAGTTTTAAAAACCTAGTCCTACATTCCTTTTTCTTAAAACAAAAACAACTTTCTTGTTCCATGTCATTTTAATGAACATGAGACAATGTATATAAAAGCACTTTGAGAAAAGTATCAAATGTGATCGAACTACAAGGTTGTATTATTCATGTCTATTTAGAAGATAAAACAGTTGATTCGATGCTGATTGACTGACAGGCTTTTACCTGTGGGGGACCTGAAAATGCGGATATATAAACAGTCACCTATGTTAATTTGTGACATTTATAAATATGAAACTGCTACATGAGTATGTGCAAGTATAGTCAGTGTTTTACTAAAATTGTAGCTCAGTGCTGAGTAACTTCAGAAAACTAGGGACCAACTTTCTGGTTTAATCATTAAAAAGCAGATGTGGGCACTCACTCCAGCGCAGACAGGCTCTTCCAGGGACCTCAACTCCAGGAGAACGAGGCCCCCTTCGTCCCGAACGTTTGTCCACTCGCTACATGTTCACCATTCAGCATCCTGGATGCGGTGGGAGCACACGCATTACCGGTTGGTGTTGACAGTGTCTTTTTTAACCTATGTCCTGTGTGGATTGTTTTGGTTTTTTTCCCCTTTTTGTGGGGCGGGGGGGTGGGGGGCATGGGCATGTGAGGAGGAGACTGGGTGGCCCTAAAACCAGCGCGATTGGGGAATGACTTTAGGATTTCCTGTCCGTTATAAATGAGTTTGACATTCATCATCTGTGTTTTTTTTTTTCTAAGAAGAATAACTGAACATAACTCACCCATTAGCTTATGAAATAAATACCCAAGAGTAAATTGCATTGGTGGTCACTTTTGAGTTATCACTACACGACATTCTGAGGGCTCCCATTCTGTTTTTGCTACTGATACCAAGGTTACGATCAGGCTGGGCGCCCACAGGGTCCACATTGGGCTGGCGGGGCTGTCTACCATTCTTGAGATGGGGTTTCATCATCTTGCGTTGTTATTCTACTGGATTTTGGGGTCCATCTCTGCCCTACGCGTTTGTTAGGACCGGCCCTCTTTATGTAGGTGGGTGTCTAGACCTAAGTTTCTTCTTGGGTGTTTATGGACTCCAGCTGTCTCTCTCTCTCTCTCTCTCTGTCTTAGCTTCTGTCAAACCAGTAGTTGAGTTTTTTGGTAAATGCCTGCTTCAGTTTGGGATATGTGGCAGCAGGAGAGAAACGAAAGGGCAGCCCAAGGGCACGCCTGTCCCAGGAGACCCCCCAGGGAAACTGCTGCTAGCCATATTCTGCATGAGAGGGAGGCCTTGGGCCAGTTCTAAAACCATCCCACTGTGAACAGGCAGGATTATTTACATCCTGGAGTTTCAGTTTTCCAACTACCAGACTTTTAAAAATCAATGTAAGGCTTGCTCTTTGGGGCAGGCCAGTAGTGCCAGGAGTAACAATTACTGTTACCCGCTGTTCCCGCAGGAACTCCCGCCGTTGCCCGGCCTCCTGTATGACCAGGGGAGCGCGGGTGTGTTTCAGGGCTGTAGAACGGGCTGCTCTCTGCTGCAGCCTGTCGTTTGCGACGTTTACTGCAATGTCCAAAAAGATGCGTTTCTGCTCTGGGTCTACTGCTTTCTGTGCCATGCACCCGAAGTTTATGTTCCATCTTGAGACAGCATGCGTGCAAGATGGCATTTCCTTCATTTCTGACTCCGTGTCCTAGATCCAAAGGACAGGAAAGGAGGGAAGGCTCCACCCTGTGATAATCAGGCATGTCCCCAGGTGAGGTGGCCTGGGCAACTCATCGCTCCTGGAGGCTTGTGCCTTCGAACATGGGCTTCATGAGTTTTGTCAGCTGGGTCGATGTTGCACGGTTCTTGAACGAGAACTGATAGAAATGAACTTCATGGGTGGCAGTGGCTCGGAGCCCCTATTAGTGAGAGCTGGCCCCACTTGAGAAGTCCCCATGCAGGGTGCTGATCTGGCAGACGGCTGCACTTTTCTCCATCTTCTTGGTGAGCTGGGGGAAGGATGTTCTAAATGGACCCTTTCCCCCCCTCCAGGTGCACGTACTTCTTTGCTCCTATGTACAATTATAAGTTTGAAATTGCTTCTCTCGCCTAGAAAGAATGTATCCTTTAACCTCCCCATTGCTGAGGGACCTGAACACAGTAGCAAGGCCCTGTTAACTCCAAGTTGAATGTCCAGGCCCGACGCTGTCCTCAGACCAGCCTGTACACACCCTCTGTTCTGTGAGGTTCTTAGCTCATCATTGTACTGGCCCCAGCAAGTTCCTGGGTTGTACGTGCCACTCCAAGCTACCGCGCTGTGCACATGGGGCTTGCAGTCTTGGAGCATTTTGGTTCATTCTTTTGAACACAGTGGAAGTGAACTGTCAATTGCTAGCAGGCTTTCAGAAAGGAAATAACAGAGCTTGTATGATTGGAACTTGTTTCGATTTGCTTTTGAGCCTCAACTGGGAGTTTTAAATCATGTATTTAAGCACCATAAACCTTAGTTGGAGAATGGGACTTCTGGTTAATAAGATTGTCACGTGTGAGGGTACTTGATTTCAGCAGTTACAGCACAGTAACACAGGTCTGCCAAACAGACGCGTTCCTGATTCAGAAGGCACTGTGGGACGCTGAGGCGCTTCAGGGCCTTCCGTGGTGAGGCCCAGATACCCTTCTGCACAGTTCGGAAATACCGCCCATGTGACGTGAGAGGCAGGAATGCCAAGAGAGATGTTTCTGGTAGATTAGCCCGCCTTCCTCCACTTTGGCGAGCCATTTTCCACTACGCCTGCTGTTCTTGGGACTCCATCATGAGAAATTTCCTGAGATCTTGAGAAATCACCTTGATTAAGCTGATGGTCCTCCAGAGAAATGAGTGTTCAGGAACTAGAAAGGACGCTGAGGTGCTCATCGTGTGTTCTCTAGGGCGCATGTTTGGAAACCCTCGTGTCTCAGATCTGTATGTGGAGGGTACTGTTACGTCCGTGTAACGCCCACACTGTTGTGCTCACTAGGAAAAGGGGGGCGTGAGTGCGAGGCGCTGGGCAGATCTTTCTCTGTGGTGACTAGAAGCTGTGCCCTGCTCGGCGTGTTGGCTCTGAGCAGGCTGACAGCTAGTAGTGCATGCTCAGAACCCCATCTTCTGGGGGGACCCCACTCTTCCTTCTTTGCAATCTGGTTCTGTAACGACGATCAGTGGAGAGACCCCGGTTTTATGTTTGCTCGGCAAAAGTAAGTTTGACCATCAGGTGGCGGTTGACAGAATTTCGTCCTAAAACGTAAGATTCAGATTCTTTAAAACGTGTTAAACGTTTATACCAAAGGTCACGCTCCCCAGGTGTCTGTATGGTGGGTGCACAGAGGGTGAGGTCTGGAGGCCTGGCACTGCGCCGCTAAGGGGACACAGTGACAACATGGGATGTAACTGAAAACACATCAGTCGAGGGTCACCCTAGAGTGTTGTCAGGTATTTGTTCTTAATTGTTATTGTAATATATTTTCAGGTGTTTTGTTTTTCTAATTTAATTCTCTCACCCTGTTGTCTGACTGTGAACTGCTAACAGTGTTAAACTTGATGTAAATAAATGAGGCCCTTGAAAGGGGATTGCTGTCTGCCTGTTGTCTCACAAGGTTTGCCAACTTGTGTTTTATTTTAAATAAAGGTTGCAATATTTTATTGGCAAAGTAGGCTTGTGATTGGAGTGTGTCTCCCATAATTTTCACCAACAGGGAATCAAAGCAGAGTTTGTCTCTCTCTATAAAATAGATATAAGGTAAAGGAGCGGCTTTTAGCAAGCATCCCCCTGGCACGTTCTTTAGAAATGTGCTCCATGGGGGTGAGTCCTCATCCTTTGACAGATGATGTTTTTGGAAATGACCAAAGGCATCATCTGGAGCCCAGCTGGTCCGTAAGGTGAGTAATGTGTGTGTGTCTGTCCGTCCATCTGTCCGATGTGAGTCTACTGTAAAATGAGAGTTAATTCTTTCAAAGTCCATTCTGAGGACAACTGCAAATAAGCTCTAAAAATATTTTGAGCCAGAGTAGCGTTAATAATAGAGTAAGGGTCGACCCTCCCAGGAAACATCCTATTCTTGTTCAACATGGTCTTCAATTCTTGTATAAAAACGAGCCATTGCTTTTAAAAGTCTTGTTTGAATTAGGTAGCTGTAGGAGATACTGAAGTGCCCGTGTGAGGTCCAGTTAGAATGGCTGTTTATCGTCAGCTTATACACCTCTTGTTCACTTCCCATCCTTTTCTTAGGCCCATTTTTGGTTCGGTTCAGGGGCATCTTGTTTTAGTCTTCAGAGAAGACCCTCCTGTGCGTTCTCCCTGCTTGTATTACTGGAACCTTTTCCCCACCAGAGGCTATGGCATTTGCTGAGGAAATCTGGAAAGTGTTTTAGAACAAGTCATGAAAGCATGCCCCCACCACCACCACCACCACCACCACCACCGCTAGAGCTTTGTCACTTGGCACAAAATACTTAATCTCTCAGAGTCCCAGTTTTCTCATTTATTAAAGTGATGAAATTGGTACCTAAGTCAGTGTTAAAGATCACGCGAGGGAACAGCTGTAAAGTGCTTAGCACAGGCCACGGCACACGGGAAGTTCTCAAGTGTTAGTTACGTAAAACACACCCCAGCCAGCAAGAGTCCCAAGAACTGGAATGGAAGGAAAGCCCAGTCTTGGCTCGGAGGATGGTGCCAAACTGACAGCTTTACTAGGCTTTTGCTATCATTAAACACCTAGAGCTGTGTCCTGAGCACTTTAGAAAGATGAATCCTCACAGTAACTCAGGTAAGTACAGTTAACGCTCACTTTTACAAAGTGGAAACCAAGGTGAAGCTGAGGTGACAAGCTTTCCCGTGGCCCCATGGGCCCTCAAGCTGCTGGCTCCAGAGACGCTCAGAACCACTGTGTCCTGTGTGTCGTGGTTCCCGGGCATGAGAGGCGTAGACCCTGTATGACATCAAACATGGCTGGCCAGGGCTAAAAGGATGTCAGTTCTGTGGCTCTGAGACCTAAAGAACAGAATGTACCTCTTAAAATGTGTGTGAAGAGGGGCCGGCCGAGTGGCGCGATGGTTAAGAACTCGCTTGGGATGCCAGAGGGCCCCGGTTCGGATCCCACATATGAGGGCCAGTGACACTGCCCTCCACAGCTAAGATGCTGAACAACAGCTCAACCTGGAGCTGGGCTGCCATGAGTCGCCGGCGACGGCGTGGGCTGCAGTCCCTGTGGCAGTGGATTGCCATGGGCTACCGTGTGTGGCCAGCAGCCAGCGTGAGCGGCCAGCAGCCGCAGTGAGCGGCCGTCCAGAAGCCGGCGACTGATCTGCCTCGCCAGAGAAGAGCGCAATGATGGTGCCAACTTGGGCCAGTGAAGCAGCGTCCTCCACAACTAGACTGAAGAACAAAACGACAGCAACTTGTCTGTTCCCCTTTCCCCAATTCCCCAGCACTGTTCCCATCCCCCCAATTTCCCAATAAAAATCTTTAAAAAAAAAAATGTGTGTGAAGAGAGTTTAGAGCTGGGTATGTAATGGCAGTGGGTGGCTTACGTATCCTTCCAGGATGCTCTAGATCAGGGTGTCGGCAAACTGCGGCTCGCGAGCCACATGCGGCTCTTCGGGTGCTTTCCCTCTCAAAAGTTTGCCGACCCCTGGAAGAGCCAATCCTGACCCTTACAACAATTTAAAAATTATTTGAGACCCATAAATATATTTTTACAAATAAAGAAAATTTAAAGTAATATTAGAAATGAACCTATGATAGTTTCCATTTGACTTCAGAGCCACATGTACGCACCCAAAGAGCCGCATGTGGCTCGCGAGCCGCAGTTTGCCGACCCCTGGCGGCTCTTCCGTCTCAAAAGCTTGCTGATCCAGGAGCTAGGACATACTATCTACAATAAAACAGACAAACACTCCCGTTGAGGAGATACACACAGTAACTTAGCAATTGTGAAACACCGCTGGGCAGGCATTGTAAAGACCTCTGTCTTGGGGGTGGGAGAAGTTCCTTGATTAGCCCACGGTGCCACCCTTTGAGAAGATTACCTGCCACCATTTTCCTTGGTAGCCCCTGGCTCACCTGAGAAGCTCTCGCTGTTTCTTTATCCTTCCTGGCTACATTTGAAGTAGGCATTGGAGAGCATGCCATCTTTGGGGCTTTCACAGCGTGCGTCCTGCCCATGCAAACTTAGAGGCTTGAGGGTTTTTAAGTTTTCTGGATAGGCAAAAGCTATTTTTAGACGAGGCTTGTGGTTTATTTATCAATGTAATTCCCTCAATAGTTTAGGTGTATCTGATTTATTTGCTTTCCAAAAGACTTAGGTGCCAGTAACTATTCCCAGAGTTGTTTTCTAGACCTAGGGCTGCCAGATAAAATATTGGGTATTGTGTATTTTTATTTGTTAAATTTGCCAACCATATCTAGATCCAGTTCTCCAGGCTGTCTTACTTCTTTGCTTCTTTACTCCATGATTTGCTCTTTCACCTAGAAGGTGGTTACCTTTAGGCTTGGCAGGGAAGGGAACATCCTTAATCCAATTGCCACACAGCTATCATTTTGTTTACTTAGAAATCTTACTGAGCCTTTGTCACTTTTTCTTCCTTATACCTTAATATCTGGAGTCTAGAAGTGGCAGGATTTTCCAGCCCTATAAACTCATGATCTCTGGGTTTTCTTCATCTTCTTTGCTCACTGCTTGAATTGAGTCCAGCTCTAGTCTAGCCTAGATTTGCTTCTCTCAATAATAATAACTTGCTGGGTGGCTGGTTAGCTCAGTTGTTTAAGAGCATGGTGCTAATAATAATAGCTTTTGTTCAGGAGAATACATTTTTTATTAGTTTCAGGTGTACAAAACAACATAGTGATTAGATATTTACACACCTCACAAAGTGATAACCCCAACAAGTCTACCACCCATCTGACACCACTAGCCATTGCAATACTATTGACTATATTCCCTATGCTGTATTTTACATCCCATGACTATATATTTTTAAAAAATTATAGTTGACATTCAATATTATATTAGTTTCAGGCATACAGCTTAGTGGTTAGACATTCATATAACTTACAAAGTGATCCCCCAATAAATCTAGTACCCGTCTGACACCATACACAGCTTTTACATTATTGACTATGTTCCCCATACTGTATTTCACATCCCCGTGACTATTTTGTAACTATCAATTTGTACTTAATCCCTTCACCTTTCTCACCCAGCCCCCACAACCCTCCTCCCAACTAGCAACCATCAGTTTGTTCTCTGTATCTATGAGTCTATTTCTGTTTTGTTTGTTTATTCTGTTCTTTAGATTCCACATATAAGTGAAGATCATATGATAGTTGTCTTTCTCAGTCTGACTTATTTCACTTAGCATAATGTCCTCTAGGTCCATCCATGTTGTTGCAAATGGTAAGGTTTCATTCTTTTTATGGCAGAATAATATTCCACTGTATATATGTACCTCAGTTTCTTTATCCAGTCATCTGTTGATGGGCATTTCAAGTGTTTCTATGTCTTTGCTATTGTGAATAGTGCTGCAGTAAACATAAGGGTGCATATATCTTTTTAAATTAGTGTTTTGTTTTTTTAGATAAATACTCAGGATTGGAATTGCTGGTTCATAAGGTAGCTCTATTTTTTAACTTTATGAGAAACCCGCATACTGTTTTCCATAGTGACTGCACTAATCTGCAGTCCCACCTCCAGTGCATGAGGGTTCCCTTTTCTCCACATCCTCACCAGCACCTGTTGTTTGTTGATTTATTGATGATAGCCATTCTGACAGGAGTGAGGTGATACCTCATTGTGGTTTTTGTTTGCATTTCTCTAATGATTTATGACATTGAGCATCTTTTCATATGTCTATTGGCCATCTGTATGTCCTCTTTGGGGAAATGTCTATTCAGGTTCTCTGCCCATTTTTTTATTGGATTGTTTGGTTTTTTGGTGTAATAATAATAATTTGCTGAAGGCAGAAAGTTCAACCTCAAACCCATTAGCACTCAAACTCTTGCCAACCTTTTCCTCTAGAGCAGAGATTTGTGTCCTAGGGGTTCTAGAACCTGGATTGTGTATTATTGTAAATCACATTTTCTGGAAGCAGGCCCTGAAAAAAGGATTAGTGTGTAAGTTATTTATTTATTAAGGAGTAACTGGGAACAAGGGAAAGACAGAATAGTGATAGGATGCAATTTTAGGCAAAGTCCCAACCTCAGCTTGATTCCACAGAGGAACTCCGTAAATTATACTTCACTTTTGTGCCATCTCAAAGCAAAGAAGCTGGGTTTTCATACATCCTCACCCGTCAGTCATTGGCTATGGGCTGCCTATTGGGGCCTTAAGCACCCTTATGTTTTCAACTTTCTGCATCTGCATCAGTAGTCAGAGGGCTGCAGAAGTCCAAGGGTAGTCCTCTGAAATCAGTCTCAGGTGAGAGCTGGTAAAGCAAAGGTAATAGAAGATGTGGGATTAGCACAGGGAACCCCTAAAAAAGATCTGAAGGGGTCAGGCAGAGCTCCAACAGTGTTCACAAACATGGGGAATGAATTACATTTTTTTTTTCACTAAGTCCCCAAACTGAAATTTAGCATTTACTTCATTCAGTTATGAATGGAGGCAACACATCACAGTGGTATTAGCAGTTTTTGTGAATTATAAGTCACAGGTAT